TATATATTCAAACGGTGTTGGATTTTCATATCCTCATACCCTAAGTTGCTAATTTTTGGTCAATAAGTTGAATTAAGTAAAATTTCTTAATGATTTTGTATGAGTAATCTATTTATTGTAGTTTATAAGTTGTAGGCAATTTTTTGAAAATCGATTGGAATGTTGACCTGTAAAAGCTAAAGGATTAAGGATTGAAAGGTCTAACCAATTGTCATAAATAAATACATTAATTGTCTATCAAAATAATTGATAAAACGTTAATTTTTTTAAAAAAATTAATTAATACATAGACAAAAGCACCCATTAATGATTAAACTTAGGTACATTTAATTTTTTAGTAATGTTATTTAACCCAATTGGAGTTACATCCCCAACTTAAGTGGCGTTAATATGACATTAAATGAAATGTAGAATTAAGTAAGTAATTTAATCCCATATTTCATTCAGTCTATCATTTAGCACCACTTAAATTGGGATTGTAACTACAGTGGGATAACCCCAATGGGCCTACATTACATTATTCTCAATTTTTATTTTGTAATATGGTGTTTGATACTTTTATAGTATTTTATTGTGTCGACATAATAAAATTAAATGAAAGATCCTGGGAATTATTTAATACTTTTAGAGTGTGTATTATTTACTTTATTTTTCATGAAAAAATTGCCATTTTCATCTCCTACTTTTGGGGTGTTTGGTTGATATATATATATTTATTTAGTTTTATGAAAAGTGTTTTCCAACTTTTGGTCTCAAAAAAAAGGAAAACATATTTTTAGAGAGAGATGATTTTCATTTTTCATGCAATTTATTTTGTCTCTATCATCTACCCACCAACAAAAAAATGTTCAAATATTATATTTTCTAAAGTTGAAAACTAAATCAATCAAACACGTTTAACTAATAATTTCTATTCCAATAAGTTCTAGATAATTGAATTATCTAAAATTTATTTTCTTTCTATGTAAATTTCATGCTCGTAATCAAACACATATTTTATTGTGGTCTTTCATTGCTGAAAGTAGAAAACAATAATTTTTAAACCCATTAGCCAACCGACAAAATCGGAAATCGGTGCTGTGTCATCCAATCAGCGGTCAATAGGCTAATTTCTGATTTTATTATTATTATTATTTTTTTTTTGTACCGGTTATATATTAAATGGGTTTTGAGCAATAACTGGAAGTTGAATCGATCGTCAGGTTTGATTTTTATAACATTGGTTATAGTGATGGCAACGGGACGGGCTCGGGGCGGGGCACCCTCATCCCACTCCGCCCCGCCTTAGACGGGGCGGGGCAGGTACGGGACAACTTTTTGCCCCGTTTAATTTTATTATTATTATTATTATTATTATTATTATTATTATTATTATTATTATTATTATTATTTTTCACATTTTGAAAGTTTCGAATTATGTTATTATTAGAAAATAAAATACAAATTTAAAATAAGTTTTTAAAGGATGAATTGTTTAGAAATAAAATTATTTTTGATTTTTTTTTTTTTTACTTTTTCTTCACGGGGCAGGTTTTTTTGTCACATTCGGGGCAGGACGACACCATTGAATTAATTAGTTAAATATTTTCATTTGAAACTATTACTATAAAATAATTTAAGTAATTAATTGTACAGTGGAAATATTTTAATTTACTATTTATTTATTTTAAAATATCTTCACCTAGAAACGTAATTGTGGTGACTGAAATCTTTTATTGGTAACAAATATTCTTCGTCGCAAAAAGTAAACTCTATTGCTACATGAATACTTTGTTGCAAGAAATAAACGTTTGTCGTCATAAGTTTTCCACCAAAAAATATTTTGGTGACTTCTCTCATGTGTTTGGCGACATTCTTTATTATTTGTCGCGACCTTCTTACATTTCATAACAACTTTTTATGTCACCTTATATTCTTTTATACTTATTTTTTAACCACAATTTTTGCAACAAATTTTAAAAATGTGTCGTGCTTAACCACTTATTGCAACAACTTTTCATATGTCGCAAAAAGATATGTCACGAAATCACAGTTTTGTTGTAATGCCTCTCTTTCTTTGTCTTATGCATTTAATGCTATAGTTTATCTTATCAATCGACTCCCTACATCTTTACTTGATAATAAATCACCATATGAATGTTTGTGTATTAACTTACAAAATTATTTCAAATTGGAAGATTTTGGATGCCTTAGACATTATACGAATCACAATTTTCCTGGGTTATTTAAATGTTCACAATTCTTATTTCTGTTATGAACCTGTAAACCACAAAATCTATTTTCCTGACATGTTCATTTTATTGAAAATCATTTTCCCTCTTTGTCGCCTTTAAATGAGCATGACAAAATAAATAATTTTAATCTTTCAATAAGGGCATCAAACTTTCCTTTCCTTAATTCACTTCAATTTGAAAACACTCCTCAAAACAAAGTCACTAAGTTCGTCCTCACTTATCACACAATAAAGTCCTATTTATTCTCTTCCACAGAATACAAACGACCATCACAGATCACCTCCAAACTTAAATTCTACTACAAGACCCAACTCTTCAACGAATCAACTCCCATCTCATCAACAATCGGCAACTTCTCTATCCAACTGCCTATTTTGGACACCATGCACAGTGATGACATTCTACTGGATCTCATCTTGGCATCTTCTTCAAACAATGCATCTCTTGCTCCATCTACGAGTACTAATGCCTCAAAGTTAGACTGCACTTTGTCTTAGCTCTTACCTAAACCTCATAATGTAGAAGACCCACCAAACCCTCATTCCATGACCACGCATTCCAAGAACAATATTTTCAAATAACTAACCAAATTCTCCTCTGTCATACATAAACATCCCCTTTCTCAAACTCTCGAACCTACCTCTGTTTCACAATCCCTCACCAATCCCAAATTGAAAGAAGCCATGTGTAAAGTCTTAGTGCTATAATTCGAAAGAGAACCTGGGAACTTGTTCCTCACCAAACCAATCAGACTATCATTGGTTGCAAGTGGGATTTTCAAGTTAAGTGATGACCCAATGGTAGCATTGATCACTACAAAGCTCGATTTCTTGCTAAGGGTTTCAATCAACGTCCTAGTGTAGACTACCTTGTGAAAATTATTTATGTTATCAGGCCTACTACCATTCTTCTTAAACTAGCTCTACCTAAAAATTAGTCAGCTGGATGTAAACAATGCCTTTCTACACGGACAATCGCCACATCTTCCACTGAAGCAAAATATCGGTACGTCAATCCACTGCTACAGAATTTGCTTGGATCACTAATCTTCAGGGTTAACTTAGTGCTTCTCCAACACAGACCTCAAACCTACTATGTGACAAACTCGGTGCCTCATATTTATGCTCAAATCCAGTCTCTCACTCCAGGATGAAGCACATTGCCCTTGATTACCATTTTGTGTGTGATAAGGTTAATTTCCAATGGGTTTTTTTATTGTCAATCATGCATCCAGTCACAATCAACTTGCTGATGTTCTTGCTAAGCCTTTAACCAAGTTGCGATTCACTCTTCTTCGATCCAAGATTGATGCTTCTGATGGAAGCATGATCTTGCGGGGCATATAAGGAAAGAAGATAAATCCATCTCATCAACATCCCCAAATCCTACACAATCACCTTGATTCACCCATCAACGCCCCCAAAACCTACACAATGATCTTGATTCATTGCTTGCACATATCAATTAATTTATTTCATTTAATATGTATGATTGCATTTCCTTTTACTGACTTGTATAGGTGTGTGTAAATTTGTCCATATATAGTATGATTGAAACAAGCTTCACCATTCTGTAAAAGTTTGTTTCCGCCCTTTTACTTCCATTGTTAGATAAAGATGATCATGCGTACTCAATCTAGTCTTAGCTGTCCTTCCTTCAATCTCTTAGAGGCTTTTCAAGAATTCAAGGGTCTACGCTCAGAATTGACCCTAAACACAGTGACTTTTCTTTAGAATTAATATGATCAGTCAGCTTTGACTATTCAAGAGCGCTCTCAAAAGATGACCCTAACCACAGTGACAGAATTTTTATAGAAAGACATTTGACGATTTCTCGTTGGTTTTTGGCACAACAAACATAGGAAATGAATGATCGAGATGTAACCAACGCAGCACCTGTATCGTTTCTTCAATAATTTTCTGTATCTATGGAATTATTCTAATTTTGTAATATAATTAAAAAAAAATTATTCTTTTCATTTTCAAAATTTTTTAATTAAATGTGAGCACTCTAGTTAGAAGAAATAAATATGTTTACCATAATTCACACTAACCAGTTTTCCTAACTAGTATACTTTCCATTTAAATTACCTCTCTCTATACCAAAAACAATTATAATTAAAAATTCGTGGGCAATAAGTAAACTGTATAAATCCGGTCTAGCTCGAAGGTGAGAATCAATTCAGCACAGAGGAATAATTCCAGGTGTTTGTGTGGGCAACAAGCAAGTCAACAAAATCACCCACAGTAACGTGAGCGGTTCAGATTTGCAATTCAGAGATTTTTAATACAGACTAAAAAATTTTGTGTCGGAAAAAAATTAGAATTAATATGTTCAGTCAACTCATAAAAATCTTTGCATGCAAATCAAGTTTTTAACTCTTAAAGATTGTAGATTTAAGTCTATTCATGTTTATCCAGTTCATTCCAGAAGCATAGATATTCAATTAGACATTCATCAGAGTCTATAAACGCAGGCAATAAATTCAAATAAATTTAAGAAATGTCAAAATATATGACATTGAAATATCAGATAATCTGGAAATTTGTGACTTCTTCGTTGAAGAAAAATCTAAAAATAAGTTAATTATTCAACATAACCAATGGGATACATTTCTTGTTTAAAATACAACTCTGTTACACCAGGCAAACATAATTTTCTTCCCTTAGTTAGAAAATAAAAATTGGAAAGATAACGTAATTCAACAAAATAATGTTGAGAAACTTGTTCATGAAAGCAAATTTAATCAAACCATTCACTAACATATAATCAAATTATAGCGGGAATTTCAAACCTGATGTTCGTATTAATATTCATTGTAATTTCAAAATAAGCATGCTCCTTCAGGATACTATAAATTGAACCTGTTCTATGCTCTGCAATACACAAGTTATTCAGCTTAACGTTAAACTTTCATGAAGACTCCAAGTATTTTTTTCCTTTTTATTTGCCTCTGTAGTTATTTTTTCGTGTTCATGAGCAGTTTCTTCTGATGGACATGATGATTTTCTTCAATGTATGTCCCTTCGATCAGACAATTACTCTTCCATTTCCAATATTATTTATACCCCTAACAACTCTTCATATTTAGCCGTCCTAAACTTCTCCATAAAAAACCTTCGGTTCACGTCAGACACAACGCCTAAGCCATTAGTCATTGTTACCCCTACGCATGAATCCCAGATTCAGTCTGTTCTATATTGCGCCAGAGAAAATGGCTTGCAAATACGTGTTCGAAGTGGTGGTCATGACTATGAAGGACTTTCTTATACATCAGAAGTCCCTTTTGTCATCCTTGATCTTATCAACCTACAGCAAATAAGCGTTGATGTTGAGGAAAAAACTGCATGGGTTCAAGCTGGCTCAACAATCGGCGAATTGTACTATAGAATTGCAGAGAACAGTCAAACCCTAGGGTTTCCTGCTGGTGTTTGCCCTACTGTTGGAGTTGGCGGACACTTCAGTGGAGGAGGTTACGGACCAATATTAAGAAAATATGGGCTTGCAGCAGATAATATAATTGATGCGCGCATGGTTGATGTCAATGGAAGAATTCTCGACAGAAATTCCATGGGCGAAGATCTCTTCTGGGCCATAAGAGGAGGTGGAGGTGCAAGTTTTGGAGTCATTCTTGCTTGGAAGATACAACTGGTGGATGTTCCAGAAAGAGTCACTGTGTTTTCAGTTAACAAAACCTTGGATCAAAATGCAACAAATATAGTACACCGATGGCAATATGTCGCGCACAAATTAGACAAAGATTTGCTCATTATGATCCTTATACGAAGGGTAAATTCAAGCCAAGATGGCGAGAGAACAATACAGGCTACATTTAACTCATTGTTCCTTGGTGGTGTTGATACATTGCTTCCTTTGATGCAACGAAGCTTCCCGGAACTAGGTTTGCTGAGAGAAGATTGTACTGAAATGAGTTGGATAGAATCAGTCCTATATTGGGCTGGGTTTCCCATAGAATCACGCGATGTCTTGCTGAACAGGACTCAGCCAAATGTACGATACTTCAAAGCAAAATCGGACTACGTTCAAAAACCTATATCTAAGAATGGGCTTGAAGGAATATGGAAATTGTTTTTTGAGGACGAAGCCGAGGAAGCTGAGATGTTCTTAACTCCATATGGTGGAAGAATGCATGAAATTTCAGAATCTGCGATTCCCTTCCCTCACAGAGCTGGTAATTTGTACAAAATTCAGCACTTGGTGTCCTGGGACGAAGAAGAGGTAGAAGCATCAGAAAACTATATAAATTGGATTAGAAAGCTTTATAGTTACATGACTCCTTATGTTTCAAGATTTCCAAGGGCTGCATATCTCAACTACAGAGATCTTGATATAGGAGTTAATGACAAAGGTAATACAAGCTATGCAAAAGCCAGAATTTGGGGCATCAAATATTTCAAGAATAATTTTAATAGGTTGGTTCGGGTGAAAACCAAGGTTGATCCTTCTAATTTCTTCTGGAATGAACAAAGTATTCCACTCCTCTACTCAGGGGCGGACCCAAAATTATTCTTCAATGGGGATGAGACAAAAAATTGGCTAAAATGAGTGATGTTTGGCCCTATCTCTACTCATGGTGAAACAAGGGCGGAAAATAAGATTATTGGGGAAATTGAATGTTTCAGTATTTGTATTCTTACTTGTGAATTGATTTTTATTTTTGTCATTACAATACTATATAGTTGATGTCATTTGTGTCAATAAATATTGTTTTTAACTTGAGTTTATTAATAAAGTACACCATTTTTAATAAATTTGATTAGGATGTCGATTTTTATTTCGATTTCTTATTATTGTCTTCTATTGAATTTATTTATAGCATTCTTGTCATGTGTCAAATGAAGAGAGAGGCTCAAAACTTCAAGTACGGCCGATGTTTTTTTAACTCTCGTTTACGATAATATGGTGGGGAATAAAAAGATAAAATTACAGTTCCTACTAATCATCCTAATTAAAGCACTATAAGCAAATTTTGTTTCAGTCTTAGTCATCAACCAACTTCCCGATCAATAGTGACAAATTTGGATTAATGACCCCAGTCTTCATGCATAAATTGATTTTTTGAGCTAACGGAAACCCCTAAGCCCTCATGATGTAAAGTTAGTTCATTTGAAAACCGAAGTTTCTACTAATATTTTTCATGAATGAATATATCACTTCAAAGGTGACCGAGAATTGGACGTAGAATTCCTGGGAGAACGATTCAATTTATTTTGTATTCTTATATGTTTCTTGTGGATTGAATTTTATCAAAACTTCAATTAGAACATTAAATTGTTCTCACATTTGTTGTGCTAATTAAGATTTTTACTTTTTTATAAGAGACCACTACAAAAAAAATCAATTTTGCAACAAGAAAAAGTTGTCGCAAAAATTGAGATTTGTTACGAATAATTTTTAGAAGTATAACTTTTATTGCCTATTCTATTTTACAACCATGCATGCTCGTATTAATATCTCTAATAACAAGTTTGTCATGAAATATGATTTACAATGCATTTGATATGTTGCATTTTATAATTTAAGATATTCAAAATTTGTAGTACAATTTATTATGAACAAGTGATGTTTGTAATTAAATTTGTTTCATAACACAAAGAGTTTATAGCCTCACCATTCGTACAAGAATGTATAATTGTTGCCTAATTTATTTCGTGATTATTCATATATGTTACACATTTTATTTTACACGTATAAAATTATTGCGCAAATTATTTTTTGACAATAAATATTTATTTATCTGTACTCGCACTTAAATTTATTTTACAGCTAAAAAAGTTTGTCACTTCAACGATATTCAAATATTGCGTAATTTATTTTTTCTATATTTATGTATGTTGTGGATACTATTTTAAACATATAACTTTCAATTTGTTACTTTTCAATTGAATTGTAATTCAATAATTTGAAAATGTAACCTACTTAATTAAAAATGACTCCAAGAAAGCTTAAATGTGCAATTATAAAAAAATAAATAATTTCAAAATGGATAAAAAATCTTATTATTATCGACCCAATAGATATAGACCAACGTATTATTTACAAACTTGCTTAACTCCAAAACCAAAACCAAAATCAAAACCAAAACCAAAACAAATACAAATAAAATATATGCTAGTAATTTCATGGTTGAACTACTCAGGGTGGTTCACAAAACCTAAAATGAAGAAAATAACGACGAATTCATGGGAGAAATAACAACTTGTTATGAATTGATCGCAAGACTATGACAATAATGAAATAAACAAGAACAAATAAGAGTACCAAGATTTAAGTAGAAACCCAAGATGGGAAAAAATAATAAACAGAGGAGAATTTCACTATAGTCAATAATAATTGTGTCTACAATGTAAAAATATCTCAATATTTTGAATTCTATACTCTCAAAATGTTATTGAATGTTAAGAGAACTATATATATAAACCTTAGAAATCAACTTATAGATTAATATGAATCCAGAAACACTTCAAAACACGAAACGGACCTAGACCGAATAACCCCGTCGCTGAAGCGACATACTATTGATAGGTGTGTGACAACTCTGCCGCTTGAGCACCAGACGAGCTACAAGTCTTGTGAGAAATCCAAGATCGAATATAAAATTATTAAGATTGCTCCAAAATAATTTTATGTCAGTATACATATGGATCATGATTCATGGAATTATATTCGACATGAAAAAGACAAGAATGATATATCAACTATATTCATAATTAAAACAAAACAAAAGTCATATTTAGCAGTATGTTTGGAAAAATTGTTTCTTGATAACGTGTCACTCTGTTTGTAAATGGATAGCTCAATAAGTCCATAGAAAATAATACAACAGTAGTTTTAAACTTGCAATATAATCTATCAGTTCAACGTAAAAACAATTTCCACATTTTTAATTACTATAGATATTAAGCCAACCGCAAATTTGAACCTATAAACTTTCCTATAATATATGATAACTTGCAGGCATTCTAGTCAACAATTATTGTTTGTACAGATCCATGGATGACTTTAACCATTAAATCATACTTCACAAAGCAGCTGACTAAAGCTAAATTCAGATTTAAAAAAAAAAAAAAAAGGATTTTATAGATCAAAATCCTCAAAAGACCAATTCACAAATAAAATATACACTGCACTAATAAAATTTAGAGAAATTACATTTCGAGGCTCGCCTCCTTCTTGATGGCAGATTTACAGTAGGCCTTCTTGAGATCATCCTCTGAAGCATTCTTTGAAACTCCAATAGCTCATAATACTTGCTATTATTACACTTCTTTGTTGCTATACCAAACATCTATTATTCTCTTTTTCTCTTCTTCAAATATTGAAAACTATACAATCAAAACAACAAAAATCAGAAAGAAAAAATAAACCAGATCATTGTTAATCAACAGATCTGATTACTGGTAATACAAACTCAAAATTGTGTATTTATGTAGAGAGAAGGAAAAGACTAAATTACACTTAATACACATTTTAAAATAATAATTCATAAAATACATTCCAATTTTTTTTATACTATTATTACTACATTTTACAAAGTAAAAATGAAAAACAATAAACAACCATATATAAATTGATTCTGTTGACAGCTTCTATTAGTCCACCAAAAAAGTCCCAAAATTCTATTCTTTTACCAAAGAAAAACCTCCAATTCCAAGTAACCATATTCCCCCAAAATCAAAATCCCCTAATTCAGAAAATCACAAATCCTTAATGTTCACTTGTATACATGCATCATTAGTTTAATCCCATAGCTAAGGGACTTACTTATCTGTGAACTAGAAGAAATATATAATCACGAGTACTTTTCTGATCGATCTTAATATCACATGTCTCACATTCCAAATCACAAATATTTTCATATCTAATCTTTGAATTCCACAAATATCAGAATCAAAGAATATTTCCAAAATAATCATGTAATCGAACATATAAATGCACATAATGTATTCGTATAATTAATTTATCAATACTTGAAAATATTTAGGGTTTTTCCACTTACAGGACTAATTCGATCATCAAGTGTCCTGACCTCGATATTTCCTGAAAAAATGTAACATTTCTTCGTATTAGCAACCATTTAATCCAACCCCCTAGCCAATGGACCAAAGAAATATCCAATTGCAGTCACTTTCTAATTGAAAATAATTATTTTTGTTTGAAGGTAAAAGAAGAATTTAAAGTAGAGTCCCATTCTTTTCTCTCTTGTTGCAGGTACCAATTAATAACAATTGGTCAAATCCATAATCAAAACTCCTTTAACTCATTCTCGTTCCTGTTTCTATTCAATGTATATAAATTTCTGTCCATATAATACTTCACAATTTGAAGCATTGGTTTAACTTTGAAAATGAAGCAAAACAACCTAGCACCATAAAATTAAATTATAATTCACCATAATCTTGCCCATATCATTTCTTTATTGAAAATAAGCCATTAAATTTCTTTCATATAGAATTCATCAGTAATGTCTTAACAAGTCTCCAAAGTTTAAACCAAATATTCTCCTGTTGTTTCTCCACTCCTTTACTAATGTTTAATGGTGGACTTATATTCATAATAACCCTACTCACCTTTGTTGAACTAACCCATCTCTTGCCTTAGTACCTGTATTTAGCTATATATGGGCATCATTATGCACAGCCCATCACGTACAATTCCAATTATTTTGTGATGAAATTCTTGTTCACATGATCAAATTAACCCATTTCCTTTCTTCCTTAGGGCTTGCCCTGCTTCTTAGGTCTAATTGCTACCAATAACTATAATGATGAAAACAAAATCCATAAACCTGAACTACTACAATTTGGTGTTACCTTGTTGCAGTCAAGAATCAACCCCAAGCGAGAAGCATAATTCGACCTTATTCACGTCGATGTTGCTGCTCCTTACCTGTTTATTTGCAATTCTAGTTATTGTTTCTCTTCCCCTCTTTTCTCTCTCTTTTTCCTCATGTTTCTCGATTCTTCTCTACTTCTTTTTGCATTTTTTTTTCCCATTGTTTTCTGCTTCTATTTGGTTCTCTGGAACTCTCTGCGTTTTTTGCCCCAAACATGAGAAATTTTAACATTTATATCTTCATTAAATGGATAACTATAGAACATTGCAAGCCAAGCCCCTCAATCTTCATTCATTATTACATTTAGTCCTTAAATCCTCAAAAATAGAAATTAAATCCCTAGATTCCTTTATGACACTCTTTCTTACAATTTGAGTCCCATAAAAATCATTTGTTCAACTTAAGTTTCTTATTTGACCAAATGCTTAATTGACTTTAATTATAATGAGTGGGGTGTAACAATTTTAGTGAGATATGAAGTTAAGGTTAGATTTTGGTATTTATAAGCAATTTTTGTGCAAAACTCATGGGCAGGTGTTAATTCTGAAATTCTGCCCAGAATAGTGCTAATTACGTCAAAGGTTTTGCTGCCAGATTTCAATAAAGAAATTGGCACCAGATTTCAACATTATGGGATTGTAGTGCTGTTTTTGTCAAAGCTCTTATTTTCTGATTTTTAAAGGTTTTAATGAAGTTATATGACAAGTGTTGAAGTTTATGTATAGGGGTTTTATATGAATAAGGTATTGATTTTAAGGAAGTGCAAGGGATTTAATGGAATTGAAAATGAATGGTGATTAGATGATAAATCATTAGAGAGGAGAAAAGTTGGGAAATTGGAGATGTAAAAGTAAATAAAGAAATTGAGAAGTTGAGAGCTAGAATTGTATTAATTTAATTGTCAAATTTTAATTT